ACACACACACACACACCTTCAGCCCACCAGTCTGAACCCACTGACTGACTGATTGATTGATTGGTTTATTGATTGGTTGACATACTGCTGGTTAATGGGTTGGCGTTGGCGTTGGTCATGAAGGTGAGGCCGGCCAATCTGAAGACGTCGGCGCTGTCTCTGCCGCCGCCTCCGCCGCAGCCCTGGTCACTTTGCTCGATGTGCTGGAGAACCTGCGGGCCACCACACATCCTGTTACTGTTGTGTCACAGCACTTCAATCCACCGATATCGTTTCTATCTTGGAGAGAAAATAAACACAAACAAATGTTTTTGTGCGTTACCATGGTAACAGGGTCCCTGTAGGTGGGGCGCAGTGTGAAGAGGCCGGAGTCTACAGCAGACAGAGCCACCAGACCGTCCTGATTGGTCCGGATGTCCAGTCGGAGGTTTTCCTTCGGTTTGTAGACGCGGTCCCGAAACGACACATCAGTCTGACACACACACACACACACACACATTAAATACACTAAATAACAGAATTCAGTCTTTTTATTACAAACTGAATGAAACCCTGTAAACATAGTGACTGTGGGTATATAATCATATTGATACAATATTTTGTATCAATAGAGCCGGACTGTCCTGAATCGTGGACTAAGCTCTGGTTATTTATGAAGAGTGTGAATCCAGAGATCTGAATAATAAAGTTGAGTCTGAGTTGTGGATCCTGTCTGTCTGTACTGAATGAAACAGACTGTAATATTTGTGTCGTACCTTGAGTCCACTGACACACTTGTCGTTGACGTCCAGCCAGACGGAGTCCGCCACCAGCTCGGACGTCCCCTCTCCGTACAGGATGTAGTAGACCAGCAGTCTGATGGACGGGACCATGTCGGACGTCACCTCGAAGCTCAGAGCCTGTTTGTTATCGGAGGAGGTGAACTTCTTACTGCCGTAATGCACCACCTTCCCCTTCGAGAGCACCTGAGAGGATGGGAGTGACGCCATCAGTAACTATGGAAACAGGACTCTGAAGACGTGTCATCACCTGTGTTTTCTCACCAGGTAGCTGATGCCTCTGATGGGCACGTAGGATGGCATGGCCGAGTACACCGCAATGTTGGAGAACTGCCCGACCTGGAGGCGGCGACCGGGCAGTGGGGGGTCGATGTACAGGTAGCGCTCGTTTGGGGAGTAATAGGCTTTCGCCTTCAGAGTTAGACTGGCCTGAGAGGCTGCTGGGAGGGCGGGGTCCGCCGTCTCAAACTGTAAACAACAGGTACAACGACCAGTAAAAACACATAAACACCATGTAAACAAAATGTACACAACAAGTAACCATCAAGATGTAAACAAGTAAAAATCAACATGTAAACAACAAATATAAACAACAGATTATTTAATCAAATAACAGATAAACAAGTAACAAAATGTAAACAAGTAGACAAAAATATGTAAACAACAACACAAATTTCAAGAAACGACAAATTAATGAATGAAGACTGAGAACATCGAGTACAAAAACACCAACAAAGCAAATCTTCCTCCTCCTTTTCCTTCTCC